CAGATAACTTATTTTAAACCCCATTTATTATCTGGACTCTTGGAGTCTTTTCTCCTTTGCACATTTGCTTTCCCCTCTAAAAGCCTCCAGCCTTGAGACGTGCTTGAAATAAAAGCCAGTTCTTACTAGGCTTGCAAAACTGCAGCACAGGCAGGACAGAGCCCTTGGGAGAGGCCATCTCATCCATCAGACCCACTGGCTTTTGAAAGGGAGAAGCCTGTGAATAGTCAAGATGATGAATCCCAACAGCTGGCAGCATCCAGGTTATAGGTACTGGAAGATGCCACTGCCTATGTGGTAACCCTTGGGATACAGCGATGCAGGATCCTCTGAGGTCAGTCCCACCTGATGCTGGTGTAATACACATATAGGTAGGTACCACTTGCTCTCTGCTTCCCTAGGCAAATCACCTCATCCACATGCACATGAACAAAGTGGGAAGACAAGCATTTTAATAAGCTAATTTCTGTTCCAATAGAAGGGAAATTCAGCATCAGAAAGATCTTCGTGCCAGCCTCTGCCCTCCTCTGTGACCTGTGACCCAGGTCAACCCACTGATTCAATTGGACAAATTTATTGAATACCTACTATGTGGCAGGCACTGGGCTTGCTTCTGGGGATCCACCCTAAGTAAGACTGACGTGGTCTCTATTATCAGGGAACATAGGATCCAAGGTATCAGAATGTACAAATAATGAAGTATGTTGAATATTATGGGAGCTGGGTAAAGAAGTACAGCCTGAGTAAATAAAACCTGCCTGCCTCCAGGTATATCTACCTGTGGGGTTCCCAAATGTAGGAAGCTAATACAGGCTGTTAATACAGTGGCATCCTGTATTAGCCTCCTAGGGCTGCTGTAACAATGGACCCCAATCTGGAGGGCTTAAAGTTACAGGAAGTTATTCTCTCATATCTCCAGGGTCCAGAAGTCTGAAATCAAGGTTTTGGCAAGGACATGTTTACTCTGAAGTTTCTAGAAAAGAATCCGTCTTTGACTCTTCTAGCTTCTAGTGTATCGACCTGTTCCTTGGCTTACAACTGTACAACTCCAGTCTCTGCCAGTGTCTGCACAAGGCCTTCTCTTTGTGTTTGTCTCTGTGTGTGTTTTTTCCTCTTATTACAAGGACAATAGTCACAGGAATTAGGGCCTACTCTTCCATTATGACTTCATCTTAATGTAATTACATCTGTAGAGATGCAATTTCCAAATAAGAGGACATTCTGAGGTTCCAAGGATTAAGACTCAAACACATCTTTTTGGGGAACATAATGTAACCCATTACACAGACTAAGATTGTTTTTCTTTGTATGTAGTGTGTCTACCATTGTCTTTTTCGCACCCTGGCTAGCCCTTGGGGCAATTTATCCGGCTTGATGCTGAACCCTCTTGAAATATTTGGAACTTGGCTCTCAAGTTCCTCTGTTTCTTTATGCTTTCAGATGCTTTTAGTGGAAGACTTCTTTCATTCTCAAATGTGATTAGTGGCTCATGTGATGGCTAATGTCCTGGGCAGGTCCACCTTAGACCCTGAGTGAAAACCAGATACTAGCAAGGCTTTTTGAGCAAAGCAAACAAGGGAAACTAACAAGCATTGTGGGCTTGAAAAACTACACACATTGGAAACTACACTTGACTCTTCTAGCTTGATGAAAGGGGTCTTTTGGAAGGACTCTCGTCTCCAGCCACATTGAACATGCCCCTATTTAAACTAAAGGCCCATAACACGTGATGTCTAGTGAACTAAGCATTTCAAACTTTGCATCATTATTTGGAGGGCTGACTCTCCATAGTGGAGATGGAATCTACTAACTACAGCAACAAAAGTTCCAAGTGTTACTATGGTAATGGAAGGAAGAAAATGGTATGTTTGCCTGAAATACCAGGCTGCAGTCAATCAGAGCACTAATTTCTAGGACTAAATTCCAGAGAACAGGGATATCCAAAGTCTTCTCCAAGATTTTAGCAAATGCCTAAGAACTAACAATTCTGTTCTCAGCTGCAGCCTCTGAATTGGTCCACGTAAGCCTAAAAGCAGAACTAAGCCTGTTTTATCACTTTCTAAAGGAGACTCAGTCATACCCAGGGGTGGACTGGAATTCATCATGTCATTGTAAGGGGCTGCATCACTGAGCACATCGAATCACAGAATTCTCTTTCTCTCTCTCCCTTTGCACCCTTTACCTCCTGTAAAGCGGATGGACTCCCTATAACTGAAGCCAGGGCATCCATCCTAACTACATCCTCTAGGAACTCACTTCTGTCAAGGGGACATTTCTCAATATATTTTCACTATACTGACTGGTGTTTCTTTGTAAGAGGAATCTTTTATCAGATACTAAAACAATAAATATTTTCTCCATCTCTTTTTTTTCTGAGATTGAAAGTCACTGTGATTTTAACAGTTTAATGGGCAGGCTTCAACTATTTTACTTTTCAACCTCTTACCATCTTCGCTCCAACAAATTGTCACTTCCTGTTAAAAAGGAATGGAACTTTAAAAAGACCTGTTTAGCATTTACTAATATGGTGGCAATTGGGGAGTTAAATGTTTAGAATACATTATTTCACTAGTCCCCCATTAAACAGTTCTGAAATGTGAATGGAATGCAAAGAAGCACCTGACTAGAGTCTTTTTATTTTAGCTGACCTTGGAAAACTGACATCCCTAAGAGTGACATTAACAGAGACAAACAGTGTAGTTCTGCTGCATGGGAGGCTTTATTTCAATACCAGAATGTCTATCAGTAACCTCTGTTTGGTGTGCCAAGCCTCGTACTATATTTAAAAGGGATCTCGACTGGAAGAAGGGTTGATATGTTTCCCCGTGAGGTAGAATGGTACAGGACAGTTCTTAATTCTGGCTGCACATCGGAATCACTGGGCACTGGGTGGGGGTGGGGAGGAGGGCAGCTTAAAAGACACACTGATGACCTGGCCCTGCTCACAGAGATTCTTAGTTGGTGAGTGTGGGACCTAGAATGGGGGTCATTTTAAAGCTCTCCACGTGGTTCATGGGCAGCTAAGGGAGAGAAACACTGGCAGAGATCAGTGCTTCTCAAACTTTACCGTGTATGCATCACCTGCGGAGTGTGTGAAAATGAAGATTCTGACTCGGTGGTCTGGGGAAGGCCTTGCATTCTGCATGTCTAAGCAGCTTCTACATGGTACCCATGCTGAGACCCACACTTGGAGTAGCAAGAGTGTGATGGAATCGGCATTTTGAAAATCGGGCAAATCAGAGTCTGAGAATCCGCTTGCTGTGTGGTTTTGTTCATATTGCTAAAATGTGCTGAACTTTAATCTTGTCTTCTCTAAAGAGGAAATAAAACTTCTTACAGTTCAGAAATGAATGGGGTGATGTTGTATGAAAGGCAGATGGCAAAGGGCATTCAGTAGCTAAATACACACAACTTCCCTTTCACTCCTCTCCCCACCCCCACCTTCCATCTGAAGCCTAAGGGAGAAGAGCTGTCATTGGGACTGTGGTGCTTTGGGAATATTTTCATTAGACAGCAGGGACAGAGGGGCTCAGGAGCCACAGTGCCTTAGTGACCATCAATCCAGGTGTCTGAAAGAAAGAAATGCCTTGAGATCACAGTTTTAAGGAGGAATCTTCACATTTTTGAAATATAAAATCTACTTAGAGCCAGTCTTCTCATGTTTTACTATACAGGTCTCCTCATTTGAGAATTCCCTCTTTGCTCTCCCTTAGAAATTAGAACCATCAAATCCTTCACCGAGTTGGAACCAGATCAGAATGATCCTTTAAAGGTAGTGAGTTTGGTAGGCAGGGAGTCTCACGGGTGTTGAGTGTAGGGGTTATAATGGGTCCTGCCTGGGGGACAGGCCAAACCACCCTGGAAAGGATTTTCGAGGTCTCAGTTGAAACACTATCTTGGGTTGGACCATATGTTGCAGGCAGTGCGAAGGCCTGAAGGATTTGGTAATGCTGATGAATCTAGTATTTTTGAAACATTGACCTTGTCATGTGTGGGGTAGATGAGAAGATGAAAACATCAGAAAGGGAGTCACCCATTGGCGGCTACATTTGCAGGTTGCTGATTGTGTGTGAGACCCTGTGCTTGATGGAGAAGATGCACAGTAGACAAGATGCATGTCACTCCTGCCCTCATGAAGCTTCCCTCCTACCCCCGAGGCAGCATGATGCATGATCATTCAAAATTATGACATGTGTCTGAAGGAAACATTCAGAGTGCAATGAGAACAAATAACTGAGGGTCCATCCTCTTAGTTGAGGTTAGGAGAGTCTCCCCTTGGAAATGACCATCAGAAGACCCTCAGCTGAGACCTTAGAGTCTTACAGGATCTCCCTGGAGCAGGGATATAAGTGGGGAGAAGTGGACGGTGTATTCTTTACAACTGACTTTACCATTGACTAAGGGAAAGACTGGAAAAACTGTATGTATTTTCAAGGATTGCTGTAAAGCTGAATCAAATAGCATTGGTAGCAGCACGGTGCTGGGCACACAGCGAAGCTGGTTCGCAGTCCCTCTTCCTGAGCATGTCCTAGCCTGTCACAGAAACAGCAACTGCTGACTGGCTACATACTTGGACCCTGGCTTTGGTCTTTGCTGTGGTGCTTTTTGGTCCTTTGCTAAGGTGATTTGTAACTCACCCCAACTCCAGCTCCCTGCCCCCTCCCTCCCCGCCAACACACCCTACCATTTAACCATAGACGTGGTTTGTCCAATTCTTTCTTAGGGATGGATCTGATGCTCTCTGAGTGCTGGGCCCCATATGGATGCTCCAGCCTTCAGACTTTTCTCCAGGGAAGAGATCTGCTTCTTCTCTTTGGCTTCTTAACCTGCCGTAGATGCTCCTCAGAACTGCAGGAGCAGACATGATGTGGGCTTGTTGCCTTGGTGCTCAACAAGAGAGAAAGCATGACTGCTGCCTTGGGGAAAATGGGGCCATAGGTCTGAGCGCCGGAGTCCACCTCTCTTCCGTCTGTCTGTCTTCCACCCTGCCTTCCCCCCTTTCCCCTGCCTGCTCCACTCCCTTTGGTAGGTTTGTGCTGCTGGTGGACGCAGGCACCCTATCAGATGTGAGAATTTTTCTTTTTTTACTCTGCAGAAATCTTCTGCGAACTGGGTTCCTATCAAACTCTCCTGAGCATTATGAAACCAGCTTCAACGTAAACTTACGCTCAAGTGGTCTGCTTTGATGACCTCTGATAGTGTTTGTATGCATCTTCTCTTCCTATATAAATACCAAGCAATTTCTAAGTATCTTCTCCAACAAAAAAAAATGTCTATGTATGCCAAAAAAAAAAAAAAATTCCAGCCTTTTAACCTAACTAGAAATGATTTAACTTTTAATGTTGAAATTGTATCATGCAGCCAAGTTGTGAAAGAGAATAGATCCAGTGGTAGGGAACTGGTTGGGTACTGATTTTCACTTGGCCACCAAGTGAGATGTAGTCACCCATTTGTTCATTCAACAACTACTGACTGAATCCTACTATGTGTTAGATATACATCTAAATGTTGGGGTTACAGTAATAAACAGAAAATGAAAAACATCCCTGATTCCAGAAGCTGCCAGTCCCCCGTGGAGACAAACTATAAACCAAGTTCACAAAGTTATGTAAATAACAGAATCACCTGCAGATGATTGTTAGAACACTAGACGTCCTGATTTCCTAGGTCTGGGATGGGCCCCAAGGATTTGCAGTTCTAACAAGTTTCCAGGTTGCATGAGCCAAAACTTGAGAGCAACCAATAAAAATAAAAGTAATACATCATATAATGCTAGCCAGTGCTAAATGTTATGAAGAAAAATAGTGTAGGAAATGGGAACAGAGAGTGATATGGCACGGTGGGTGCTGATATTTTAGTTAAGAGAGTCAGAAAGGGCTTCTCACTTGGGAGAGACTCAACTGAAGTGAGAGAATAAAGCTTTTGGGCATCTTGGCAGAGCCCTGCAAGATGAATGGCTGCACATGCCGAGCCCTGGCAGGGAACACCACGGCCTGGCTGCACACATCCCAGTCCCAGCCTCTGTGCTCTTAGGATGCCACTGGCATCTCTCTGTCACTGCATCTAACTGGATGTACGATTGGATCTTCCTTGTGTTTTAGTACTTTGAGGCAGGTACAGTAGTGCCCTTTTCATACCCGAATCCCCCAAATCCTAGTACGAAGATGCTGCCAATTTAATGAGCCAGGAGCTATTAGAATCATTTCACAGCAATTAACTCTTCAATCCTCATATAAGCCACATGAGGTCTGACCTGTTGTCATTCTCATTTCACAGATGAGGGCACTGAATGACAGAGAGGTTAAGTAGTTTGCTTAGGGTTGCAGAGAACGGAAGAGGCAGACGAGGACTTAAGCTCATCTTAAACAGGGTGGATAGATGGATGGATGGATGGAATGTTGGAAATGAGCCAATAAGAGTTATCAACCAGCTTCTGTATTTTAAGACAGGATTTGTAACACAAATAGAGCTGAATGACAGATGTTGGCCCAAGTAGAGAGAAGAAAGCATGCCATCGGTGGACCAGTCCAAGAGAGTGTGGGGGAGCCAGTTCTGGAAGCAATACCATCAGGAGTGTGGCAGAGAGGCTTGTCTGGGCAGGGACAGGCTCCCTCCACAGGAAAGCAGGTGTGCCCTTGGAAGCTGGAGGGCAGGAGAAAACACGTTCAGCAAACCCTTCCTCTTGAGGGATCCTGACAAATTGTGTTTTAATCTAATTAATACATTCAGAAAGTTGAGCCATGAGGAATGTGATTATTTAATTGTTTTGTTCAAAGAGTATGAAGCAGGCTACTAGTCTGGGGTCAGGACTCCAAGGTTTATTTCAGGTTATTGCCTAGGAGGGTTTTGGTACCAGAGTGGCTGATAGGTTCTTTCCCACTGTGATCCTCATTAATTTGCAAAGATTCATTGTATTGGTGCTAATTTGCAGCATCTGGAATGAAATGTAAAACAGATTCAGACGGATAAGAATTGTTTTGTATCTGCTATTCTGTCTTATTCATTCCCTACATGTTCCCTTCCAGAGGTTTTCAGGTACATGAATTTCCAGTCTGATTATAATGAACTCTTTTTCCACATGACAAATGTTGTCTCCAATGACTGAACAGTGAACAGGAAGTGGGTATTTGGCATTTCATTTACAATCCAGCAAATATTTGGCTCTCCTGTTATTCTCCCTATGGCTCAGGAAAATTCATCTAACTTTTGTTACCCAGCTTTCCCTTCTAGGAAATCTGGATAATAACATGCACACCTGAACCCCTTACTCCTCTTTCTCCATTAACATTTTCAAATGGCTCCCATAACATTCAGGTAAGTTTCGTGGTTGATGTTTCAAAACGCTTGATGGCTTGGCCTTTACTTTCTTTCTAGTCTCATATTCTGCCACTGCTCAGCAAATATTTTCTATTCTATTGTATGAAACAATGTTCTATTTGCTCCATTCTTTCTCTGCAAAGTCTTACCCTACCTTTGGATATTTGCCAAATTCTCTTTCTTCCTTTAATTTGCCATCACTTCCATGAAACTTTTCTGGCTGCCACAGGCAAAGTACTCAACAAATTATGTGTGTTCTTGGTTCCTCCATTAACACTTGCCACATTTTATTGTAATTATTTGTCTAATTATTTATGTGTGTGTGTATCCTCTACTACATTGTGAGCTTTCTCAGGGCATAGGAGTAGATCATATCTTAAGCAGTTTTATATGCCAACTGCTAACACACTGTCTATTAAAGGAACTTAACGTATGTTGATTGGGTAAATAAATGAAAAATATCTAGCCTGCCTGACATCTATAATATGATGATTAAATTATATTTAAATGCTAAGCCTCTTTGTACACCAGAAACTACTAAATAGTGTGCTGATATAAGGAATCATTTTTTCATTGAAATGCTCTAAAATGTTTTGTAACTCCATCATCTTAGTCATGGAGTTTAAAACATTTCCTCTTTTTTGTGAGAAGCAGTCATTTATTCATACAATCAACAGATATGCTTGTCAAGCCATGTGCAAGACGCTGGAGATAGAGTGAAAGGAGAAAGGTGGCCCTAGGCCTCACAGATCTGAGAGTCACAATGGATGAGATCTGAGTAATTCCCCTGGAGGTCGGGGTGGGTGCTGCTATACTTAAGTGCTTGCCCTGTGCACAGATCCAGGTCAAGTCCTTATCACCTGGGCTCTTTATTAAGTGCAATTGCTTTGGTCCTTGCATGTCTGCATTTTGCACCTGAATATGTTCTTCTTTGTTACGGGTCCAGGCTATACCTTACAATGCCACCTAGTTTGGATGGCAGCCTGTTTTCTGGGCTGGCCAGCCAGGTTCTAGCTACCAGGAGCTGCAAAGAAAAATGGAGAATGAACCAGTTCTTCTGAGAATTCAGGCTGGAACCTCACTGGCCTGAGTATTGGTTGCATTTCAGCCTTTACCTTTCAACCCTATCAATTTAATATCAAAATCCAATCAAGGTATTTACCTAAGATATCTGAACTTGCCTGATAAATAATCATAATGCAGTGAGAAAAGCAGCCTGACCACATCTTTTCTTTCTGTCTCCAGTTTTATCTCAAAGAGATGCTTTCTGCTGTGATCACTAGTAACAGCTATGCATTTCCTCACTCGATTGAGAATTGTCCGATTCAACAACTTGGCTTAGCCTTAGCTATTCTTGGCGGCCTCTGGCTATTACAAACTGGTTTCTGATGACCGTTTTCATGAAAAGTGGACTTTCATTGCCTCAGTCTGGCCCCCTGTTCTCCCACCACCTCTGTAGGCATGTTAGCAGAGAAGGAGGTAGGAAGAGACAAGGGGTCAAATCTGGTACTTTTTATAGAGATGGAGTGAAAATAATTTCCTGGGAAAGCTGAGGACATTTTTAAATTAGTTTTCCTTCCTGCTAAGGGTCTTATGTGCTGGAACTTCCATGGGCCAGGTTCCTGTGCCTAAGGCTTCTGAGAGATAGAGGTTTATGAGTTTGGCCCACCTACACAGCAATAGCCTGGGCACCATGAGGAATGAACAGAAGAGAACTGCCTTCAGCCATCCCTGAATATTCTGGACACACGTTCAAAGGCGAATCCTCAAAGAGGTGTTTTGGTAAGCAGCCAACCATAGAATTTTAGGGTTCAGAAGAACTCTGTCGGGGGAATGTGTCCCAACTGCCTGTCCCTTAGATTTCAATGCCGATATTCCAAAAATCACTCTTTCATTCCTTAGTGCATAATTGTCCGGAGCCAGCTGTGTGCTGCATACTGCTCTAAGCTCTGTATAGATCGCAATGCCAGAAACACCAGTCAAATGGACTTGAGCAGAAGTGTACTGGTTCCTGTAACTTCAGGCAAGGCTGGATCTAGGTGCTCAACATCTTTAGGAATCCGTCTCTGTCTCTGTAGCTCACTATTGAGTTACTGTGTTAGCTGGATTCGCATTCAGGTTTTCCCTCTTCGGTCACCAGTTGGCCACAGGAAGCTTCAGGCTTACACTCACTCAGCTCTAACCTCATTGAGAAAAGGCTTTCCTTTTTCTAATACATCCAGAAAAAATCCTAGACCTGCTTCTCATGGACACAGAATGGATCTCATGTACCATCCTGACCGAGTCAGTATGGCTGTGCACAGCTGGGCCCATCTCTGTAGAGGTTATGTCAGCTCTACCTTAATCATCTGGTTGAATGAGAGAGCAGTAGAAGAAAAGGGGAATAATACTAGTCAAGAAACAACATGAAAAACATGTATCCATTTTAACAAATGCAGAAGTAGGCTGAATCACATAAATTCATTTGGCCAAAATGGAGCTAGTAAGGGTTTTCAAATGGCCCACAGTCCAGGTTTCATAGCATTGAGGTAGGTCCCCCCTTTATCCTTCCATGTTGGTTGGTATTCCTTCCTCACTCAGACATTCCATATGCACTTCAGTTCTGTGACAGGCCCCCGGCGTTGCCTACCTCCTGGTGTTCACATCTTTATGTACTTTCTCTACCTCAGTATGGGTTGAACCCTGTGACTTACTTTTTAACCAACAGAATATGGCACAGGTGATAGGAAGTCAGGTCTATCTAACCAGGCTCCTTAGTTCTGTGATTTGATTACAAAAGATCGTTACTTTGATTTTGCTAGCAGATTCTCTCTCTGTCTTGCTGTCTTTGGATGAAAGAAGCTGTTATGTTAAAGAGGCCCACATGGCAGGGAGCTGAGGGCAGCCTCAAGCTAACAACTGGCAAGAAACAGAGGCCTCGGCCTCACCGCGGCCGGGAACGGAGTGCTTGAAACATTTCTGGGAGACCTTTGAGGAACATATGCTTGAGGGGTTACCCTGCGTGATGGTTAGGTTTAGACTGGACTGATAAGCAGTCAAGCATTGTTCCAGGCAGTTCTGTAAGGGTATTTGTAGATGAGCTTATCATGTACATTGGGAGACTGAGTAAGGCCAGACTCTCCGTAATGGGTGAGCCTCCTCCAATCTGAATGCCTGAATCGAACAAGAAGGTTGACTTCCCCTAAGTAAGAACGGATTCTTTCCTGCCTGTTTGTCTTCAGACCAGGACATCTGCTCTATTCCTGCCTTCAGACACTAACTGAAACATTGGCACATCCTGGGTCTTACGTGTGCCGGCTTTTGGATGGGAGCTTCACCATCAGTGTTCCTGGCTCCCAGGCCTTTGGACTCAGACTGGAACTAAACCATTGACCCTCCTGTATCCATCTTGCTGACCCCTGCTGCAGCTTTTGGGACTTCCTTCCCTTCATAATTGCCAATTCCTTATAATAAATTTCTCTCACTCTCTCTCTCTTTCTATATATATATATATGTAAAATCTCTTTAAATCTTCATATAGAGATTGCAAGGCCGGAGGCACCAGAGGGACGAGTGAGCACGTCGGACACTGATCACGTGCCAAAGTCCCCGGCTGCTGCTCCCTCCCAACCTGAAAAACGTGCCTTAGGCTAGACAATCCTCGCGCCACTGTAAATGTATGCTCTGCCTTCCCCTCCCCCTACCGTCTTTAAAAACTCGCTGCCTGCCCTGCTGGGTGCGACTTCTCCAGCCTGTCTGTGCAGACTGGTGAACCTTGCCCGGGATTTTGCTCAAATAAACTGCCTGGCCTTTTGTTGTCTCTCGTCGCCTGCTCATTTTGGTTAGAATTTATCTTACAGAGATGTCTCTATATAAAGATACATATGTGTGTATATATACATGCACACAGACTATATATAAATATGTTTGTATATAGATCTCCCGTTGGTTCGGTAAGATAAATTCATTTCTGACTAATATACCCTGTGAAATCCCAGGCTAGACTATTACCATTGCTTTCAACACCCCAAAATAATTCATCCCATCATTGTACATAGCAGTGATATAGGAATGATTCAATGATTCAATTTGATACCAAATTTCCTGGCAGCTTAGTGAGGCTTGAGAAAAGATGCCAGTATGAAGGTGAGGACTGTATGGCTGTGATGAAGAAATGAGAGAAAAAAAGATACCATCAGACACATCAATATTTACGCTTATCTAGATACTTAAATCACTCTAGTGAAGAAATCACCTATATCCCTTCCTTATCCTTTGAGAAAGAACTACATGCTTTATAATGCACAAAACTCTGAGTGATTGCATTTGATATAAAAATAAACCATGCTTTAGATACCATATTTGCTTATTTTTCTTAATGATGAAAGAGAAGCAGCAACTCATATTTTAGTCTGTACTTGCCATTATGTCCTCTAACAGAAAAACTTGAGTGGAGTAGAAGGGTGAGTTAAGACAAGGAGAACGGGTGTGAATTGCACCCTGAATTCTTAGATGTGATGTCCTTTCACTTAATGACGTCAGATCTTTCTACTTAATATACTTTTGGCAGTATGGAACTAGTGATAAATACCATTCCATTGTTCATGTCACAAATATTTGGTCAGAAAAAAAAGATTTAATCACAGAGCAGCTAAAGTCAAATTCACAAATAATGTTTTAAAAGGTGAGTCATTCTTATTCCACACAAATGGCACATCCCTGAATTATTCATATTTGAGTTGATGTCTGAATTCTTAAATTTTTATCTGGGTGGGTAGGGAGGGAGCAAATTCTTGTTTTAAAAACATGTCGTGCTTAAAAAGGAAGTTGATTTCTCTGGGAATATGTGCTATGTGGTGTAACTGTTTCAAAATACAGACTCAAATAATATGTCAATTGATTCCCCTTACTTACCCTACTAATTGGTCATTAGGCATGCTGGGTAAACAAACTTGTACTTCTCCCATGAAATTACTGGAAATAGAGGATCAGGAATTCAGATCCACTCTGGGATGATAAGCCTAAGAAAAGAAAAGAAAAAAAACCCGTTGAAAATTCCTTAACTCCATAACTATAATTACTGGTCTAAATTCTCCTTTTAAATTTATAGACTCAGCAGCTTTTATTTATTTTTGAGGGGGAGGGGAGCACAAACTTTTAAACCACTGAAGCAACTTACATTCTCATCATTCCAGACTACCTCAAGTTAGTGAAAAAAGACAGAATATGGAAGCCAAAGTGTGTGGAAACCTGGAGAAAGGCAGTGAGGTGAAGTACTGCTTAGTAATGGTTGGAATTCTATAAAGAATAGCTGAAAACGGGAAGCCTGATGAGTGGGGGAAAAGTCTGAAAATAAATGAAGAAAGATGTGAGTTTTTAGCTGAATTGTAGTATCGACTAACTCTGTGGCATGGGCCTCCATTTCTACTACAGTTATTTATTTTTTCTAGGAGACTCCTGGTCTCCCACATTTTTGAGGTGACAACTGTCCTTTTTAAAAATTACCAAAATTTTTCACATGAAATACATATTCATTTTATTTTATGTATTTATTTATTTTTGCACCTCTTTATCCCCTTTACCTGTTGCACTCTCCTGCTCCTTCCCCGTGGTAACCACCAGTGACTTTTCAGTGTCTATCAGTCTACTGCTCTTTTGTTCTATTTTGTTTTTAGATTCCACATAAAAGAAAATCATATGGTATTTGTCTTTCCTCACCTGGCTTATTTCACTTAGCATAACGCCCTTTAGGTCCATCTGTGTTTTTGCAAATGGCAGGATTTCTTTTTTTATGGCTGAATGATAGTCTGTTATATATATATATACCACATCTTCTTTATTCATTCATCTGTTGACAGACACTTTGGTTGCTTCCATAGTTTCGCTATTATAAATAATGCAGCAGTAAACATAGGGGTACATATATCTTTTCAAATTAGAGATTTTGTTTTCTTTGGGTAACTTACTAGAAGTAGAATTACTGGGCCGCATGGTATTTCTCTTTTTTGGTTTTTTAAGGAAACTCCATACTGCTTTCCACAGTGGCTGCTCCAATTTACATTCCCAATAGTGTAGGAAGGTTCCCATTTCTCCACATTCTCACCAACACTTGTTATTTCTTGTCTTTTGGATAGTGGCCATTCTGACTAGTGTGAGGTGGTATCTCACTGTGATTCTGATTTGCATTTCCCTGATGATTAGTGACATGGAGCATCTTTTCATGTGCCTGTTGGCCATCTGTATGTATCTATAAAATGTTATTCAGGTCCTCAGCCTACTTTTTAATTGGGTATTTGGTTTTTTATGAGGCATATGAGCTCCCTATGTATTTTGGATGTTAGCCCCCTATTGGATATATCATTTACAAATATATTCTCCCATACTATAAGTTGTCTTTTTTGTTTTGTTGAGGTATCTTTTGCTTTACAGAAGCTTTTTAGTTTGATGTAATACCACTTGTTAATGTTTGCTTTGGTTTCCCTTGCTTCAGGAGATGGATCCAGAAAAAAATTACTTATGGTTATGTTCAAGAGATTTTTGCCTATGTTTTCTCTTAAGAGTTGCATGGTTTCATATATTTATGTCTTTAATCCATTTTGAGTTTACTTTTGTGTATGGTGTTAGACAGTAATCCAGTTTCATTCTCCTGCATGTAGCTGCCCACTTTTCCCAATACCATTTATTGAAGAGACTGTCTTTAACCCATTATATATTCTTACCTGCTTTGTGATACATTAATTGACCGCATATGTGTGGGTTTATTTCTGGGCTCTCTATTCTGTCCCATTGATCTGTGTGTCTGTTCCTGTGCCATTCTCATATATTTAAAGCACACATAATAAGGGAAGGCTTTCCATATCTTCAGGCTGACATCACTAGATGAATGCCAGATACAATCATGAGTGTGAGTGTGTCTTGTAAACTTTAACTCGGGGATATGATTGATGTTCAACATTTAAAGAAAACAGTGCAGCAGGTACAGTGCTCCGGTATGACCACCTGCATAAGGCTTGGGAGCAGGGAAAAGCCCGCTGTAGGTAGGAAGGGGTACCTGAAGATAACAGAGCAAGGGCAGAATGCTCAAAATCCTACAGGGACCAAGCCCATAAAGTGACACTGCAGAGTGGGCCAGGTGGTGACTAGGAAGAGCACAGGACCTTCTTAAAAGAGGGTAGAGCCCTGCAGTCTCAGCTTATCACTTACACATAAGAATCCCAACCAGAATTGCCAGCTCTCCCAGTTATTCACAAGAAACACTAAATAGAGATTTTCATGTGATAGAAAGTGTATTGAAAATTTAAAAATAAAGGAGAGATGGGAGTTGAAATGCACTAGTGGATGAAAAGGGAGAGAGAGCAGGCATAAATTTCCTATTACCTAGTAGGTAAGACTGATCACAGAGGGAAAAATAAAGCACTCAGTTTAAGCATACCCAGCAAGCATTAGTGCTGGCCTGTCCATATGCATTGCACAATACTAAAAACAATAATAATAACCAAATAAAGCACCAGGGCTTCTTTTAAAAATCAATTACAAACATGATCCCTCCTCAACACACATCCTCCTTTTGTGCATTTTGCTACATTAAATTCTAATGATTGCTTGGCCACAACAGATTCTTCCCAGCACTTTGCTTTCTCAATTGTCATTCCTTCTGCATAAAATTCTCTCTGACTATTCTCCAATGGAGGCAAGAGTTGTTTTTTGAAATCCAACTCAGATGTAACTTTCTCTATCACCCATTTTAAGCCTTCTGTGGAGACATATTCACCTTGTTCTGTAATTACATAGTTCTTTGCTCATATTTCCTTAAGAACATTGACTAAGTTGAATTAAAATGTGAAGCATGTTTGCCCCCAAAGACTGCGAGCTTCTTGAAGTTAGGGACTGGTTTTTTTGACCTGTGATGTAGCACAGAGAGTGCTTTTTGAAACACCATGAGTTCTCCAGAAATATCTGTTGAAAGAATAAATGATAGAATTTCATTTCTACCTAATATAGAAAAAAAATAGAGTGTTGCTTAGTCTACTGTAACAATAAGTAAAAGCTTTAATAGAATTCAAAAATCACAACTTTTCTTCAGCCCTGTAAGGCCTGAAGCTATAGGAAACCACACAGATCGAAATTTGAGGGACAATAACCACTTCTAAAGAGAGACGGGATTCAAGCTTTTCTTCACTGATGGCAAAGTTTGGGATGAAATGATGTGAGCATCATACAGGTGGATAAAAAGAATTCAGCTAAATTTTTGAGCAAATTATTAAAAGCCCAGTGTGGGTTTGTGTGAAAGCACAGGACCCCTGGGAACCAAAGGCAAAGGAGATACTCATCAATACCATTCACCCAAGTCTCAAGTGTTCTAAACTGAAGTATTGCATTCACTCAGAAATGGAAAAGTATACAATAAAACAAGAAAGAAAACGTCAAAAGACAAAGCAATTAATAGAACCAAATTCAGAGATGAGCTGGATTTTGAAGCTATCTTATAGGTAATTTAAAATAACAGTGATTAATATGTTAAGAGTCCTAGAGAATAAGGTGAATAACATGCACAAAAAAATGGGAAATTTCATCAGAGACATAGAAACTATAATAGTGTTTAAATAAAAATGCTAGGAAATAATAAACAAAAAGAAGAAAGAAAAAAAAGTGCTAGGAAGCAAACAAAACAGCAGGATGAAAAATGCCTCTTACAGGCTCATTATGAGGTTCAGCATTGCCAGGGAAATCAGTGAACCCCAAGACAGACCAATAAAAATTACTCATACTGAACATAAAGAGAAAAAGAATGAAATAATTAAATGAAACAAAACAAAAAGAAGAGCATCTGAGACAAAACAAATTGAGATTCCAGAACAAGTAAGAAAAAAAGGGGAAACATTTTCAAAAATAATGAAATACATTAAATCAGAAATTTAAGAACCTAAGTTTACATCAAACAGGTAATATCAAAACAATTCCAATAATAAAGTGATAAGGATCTCAAGAAATTGATAAAATGAAGGTAAATATGAAATGTATTTTATCTCATTTTAAATTATTTTTAAACAATTGAAGTAGAAATAATATCAATGTATTGTGGTTCATAGCATGTGTAAAAATAAAACGTATGACAAAAATAATAAAACAGGTGAAAGGGAGAAATCAGAACTACATTGCTGGGAAAGTTTTATACTATACTTGAGATAGTTTAATGTAACTTGAAGATAAACTAATAAATGAAAGATGTATGGTATTATCTTAGGGCATGTTTTCTCAACCTTGAGGAGTGGGACTACCTACTGTGCATTTTAGGATGTTTATCAGAATTCTTGGCCTTTACCTACCAGATAGCAGTTACATGCCTGGGTTGTGAGTGGAAGTGAAAACACAACCTATCAAAGTGTATGGTATATAACTAAAGCAATGCTTAAAAGGAAATTTATATCAGAAAAGAAGAAATGTCTCAAATCTATGCTCTATGCTTCACAAAGATCAGATTCATTCAAAGCAAGAAGAATTTATTAATAAAGAGAATAAAACTGAAAACAGAAAAATAAAAGGAAATCAATGAAATCCAAAGGTGGTTCTTAGAAAAAGATAAATAAAATTGAAAAACCTCTAGCAGAAATTTCAGAAGGAGAGAGATGGCAGAAATAATCAATACCATCAATAAAGAAAGGGATACCACTACAGTTCCTATAGACCCTGTAAGATAATAAGAAAGCATAAAGAAGAACTTTATCCTTATCAGTTTGACTACAGAGTATAAATAGATAAATTCCTGGAAGGGCACATACACAAAAACAGGCTGATTCAAGAAGAAATATTCAAATGGTCATGTTACAATTCTTACGGTTCTGAGACCTGTCATTTCTTACAAATATTAGGACCCTCAGGAAGGTGCTGATTTGGTATGAGGTAGGTTGTAGTAACAGAAAAACTCACATAATACAGGAAAAATAAGTGTTTAATCTGTGAAATCATAGAGTGTGACCAAATGTGTAATATAAGTCTTGGAGGGGAAAAACGTAAAATCACT